CCTGAGTCAGCTGGGATGCAGCTGATGCAGGATAATAGATTAAATACTGGACTAAAGTTCCAAAATGGACTTAAAAAAAGAGAACATTTTGTCCCAGTGGTCAATATACAGACAAATGACCAACAGAGTGAAGGAAAACATCTAAGTAGACACAAATATGAGTCCATTCTGCTTTCAAACCAATGAGAACATATGTACACCACTTACTGTACAACACAGTTTGTGATGCTGTCATGTTGCATCCATCTTCTTGTTGAGTTATTTTAGAGCTGCAGGGTCGCAGGGGGGCTGGAGCCTATCCCAGCTTAGTGCGAAGGTAGGGGACACCCTGGACAGGTCACCAGTCTATCACAGGGCTACACTTAGAGACAGACAACCAAGCACACTCACATTCACACCTACGGACAATTTAGAATCACCGAATAACCTCAACATGTTTTTTGACCTTGTGGTAGGAAGCCAGAGAACCCACGCTGCACGGGGAGAACATGCAAACTCCACACAGAAAGATCCCAGGTGTCCTCACTGGGCCACGAACCAGCGACCTTCTAGCTGCGAGGCAACAGTGCTACCCATTGAGCCACCTTACAGCCCCTAATCAAACACCTAATCAATTATTCAAATATATATATATATATATTCAACAGATTTTTTTCCAAATACTCATTAGCTGTAGCCTTGATGTGTATTTCTAATCACTGTAATACTATCATAGGTAAGAGAAAATATTGCACATCAATTTAAGATTTCAAATAATAAATTCCAATAATTATTATTGTTACTAATCATAAGGATTTTGGGAAATAATGAATACACTTGATAATGTAGTTAACAGAATAAAGCCTATATATGTCTGGATCTTTGCAGCGTTGGTCAGTTGTCTGATGATTTAAAACTACATTTGAGAATCATATGACAGGACAATGACGTGTGTTCAGACTATCTGCTTTACAACCCATTCTTTATTAAGAATATTCATGTGCTTATTTTCCATTTAGTGGAGTCCAGCTTTTACCTGACGGTTCACATACTTATATTCTCAGTTATGTAGTTGTTTTCTTCCATTCTAAAAGTCTAAGGACCAGGACTTGTTAGCTGTCATTGATTCTTCACGGCATTTCATTGACTTTCTTTACGTTACACCTGGCTACAGACAACAACGTGAGCTTCATGAGCAGCGGTGTTAGCATTAGCTAGCTAACAGCATCAGACGGTCGTCGTCACCTTTTCGGCGTAGAAGCGGACTTCATCTGCTCGGGCCAGCGTGGTTTCTATCCTCTCGTGTCGGACCAGTCCTGTCAAAATGTTCCGCAGCATGTTGATTCGGGACTCCGGGCCCAGACCCATCCTCCGGGCCACTCGGCCGTGAGAGATCAACATTTGCAACGTGAGGCGCATCTTGTCGGATAGATTCACCCGCTAGAGACCGCGACAAATAAACGTAACCCCCACAAAACTATGAACCGCTAAACGTAAAGTCTACTCAGACTGCCTGTTGTAAAGAAAACAGGGCAGTAAACTCAATTTAAACGCAACTCCTGAGGTCAGTTATGTCAACGCTAAGTTGCCTGGGTTTGACATTGGTGGTGCGTCGTCAAATCTGTCCGACGTAGTCACGGAACAAAGAGGCGATAGTTCCGCTAAAATCTGCAATAACCACTCTACGATAACAACAAACGATTAAAACCGAGAACAACAGCAAAAACGTTTTAATGTAATTCTGTTGCCTTAATAAGGGGGCAGATGACACTTGGGATCTGTATATCTTGGTGTTTAGACTGTTGTTGTTGACATACAAAAGTATTTTTGTATTTCTTTTGTATTTCCAACTTCTGCAGACCCATTTGTTATTTAATACATTTTCTTTGTTATTTTATTAGTTTTAATTACATGCCTTTAATGTTTTGTGACTTTTAATTGTAAATATTCATATTAAAGTTATCATAGGTGTAAAGTTACAGTTACTTTGGCCTCAATTTTATTCATGGTGCGGATTTGCTGGCAGATCATAACGGCGGACAGTGAAAGGATTGTACAATACAAGGACGCAGACTGAAAGTGTAGGTTTTATTTTCTTTTACTTCCATTACAACTTGCAATTTCTTTCACACAAGATGGTGCAGTGTAGAAAAGTCCTGTCATACACTGTAAACATTATCCTGGACTCAGTAAGTGGCCATGGTGCTCTGCAGCCAGTCTGTGAAAATGCAGGTCTGATGCAAGAGAGAGGGAAAAAGAAAATGCATAATGAAATTTTTGTCACACAGGGCTATGGGAATACCTCAGGGTCATAAAAGAAAAGTAAATGATTGCAGGGTAAAACTTATTTTTTACCTTGGCATAGACACCAGGGTGGTTTTTCTCTGCACACCCGAAACCCCAGGACACAACACCCTGCAGCTCTCCATTACACACAACAGGGCCACCAGAGTCACCCTGAAAACAAAGAGTGTAGAGCATGAAATAACAGCAAAAGTCGACATCACATACCAAGTGTCTTATGCAGTTACTGCCAGAGCCACCCTGTGAAAGGGAAGGGCCAAAGCCAAAAAGTGTTTGGTCGTAACTAAGTGTTGAAGGTAAAGCACAAGACATCAAAGCTTTGTCTGTGCTGCAAAAGCAGAGATGCAAACCTGGCAGGAGTCCTTGCCTCCCTCCAGGTATCCAGCACAGAACATGGCCTCAGTGATCATGCCAGGGTAGGAGTTATCACAGTCCTCATCAGACAGGATGGGGATGTTCAGGCACTGCAGCCTGTTACTGTCGGCGGCTACAAGTATAAACAACCAACTCAAGAAATTAAGCACTGACAAATGAAAGAGTACGCCCTGTACAGAAGCAATGTCTAATACTCACAGTTGCTCATGGTCACACCCCAGCCAGAGACTGTGCACATGGTGCCTGCAGAAGCACAGCTGGTGGGCAGAGCCACAGGCTGAACATACTGGTTGATGGTAGCTGGTTCGCTCAGCTTGATCAGCATGATGTCATTATTGACTAGCCAGGACTCGTAGTTGGGATGAGGGATCACAAGAGCAGCAGAAATGATCTGTTCATTGCCATCCATAAACCAACGGTTATGTTCACCGAGTACGATGTCCATTTTGCTGAAAGAGAAGCACAAGTTGTGAGTGAGAATGACCAGCAGGACAGGATGACCTGCAGACTGGTATTTTTGGATGATGGTTGAACACCTACGATTTGTAGCAGTGAGCAGCAGACACAATCCAGTATTCGTTGACAAGGGAGCCACCACAGAAGTGGTATCCAGAGTTCAGAGACACCTGATGGGGCTGAGAATGAGGCGTGCACTCATGGCCTCCAACAATTTTGTCATCTGCCGTGGCAACTGAAAAAAATTGTAAAAAAAAAAAACAACAAATATTTTATCTCTGCAAAGAAGGAATAGCACCTGTGCAAAAATGTTATTTTTGCAGGTATACACAATTTAGTATCATTTGTATATTCTGTCTGGAAATTCTCAGTAAATTTCAGAATGTTAATGCCTTCTAAATGTAGATGATACTTACACACAGCTCTCAAGAGCAGAGCAAAGAACAGACACCTCATGATTGCTCAGTGGGAAATGGCGTGGCAAGAATTTACCTGAACCCATGCAAGGTTTTTATTGACTGCTTTAGCTTATGCTAATTGACAAAACACACCCCTACTGCTGACCAATCCAAACCCTCAAAGAGTTCGGACAGGAAAACTTCGCCATGCATACTAAAAATCCAGCTAAAGTACAGGTTTATGGTTTTAATGGTACTATTGAGAATTATGCAATTTTTTAAATCACAAATGTTCAAGCAGAAACTGTGAGTATAATATTAGTTTGATCCACCGGCAGTCAGTCTGAGTTTGAGTACAGTACAGTATGTATAGTACAGGTTGTAATGAATATCCTGACCTTGACCAGCTGCTGTTCCAGGTGGAGGTTCTCTCACAGACTGGCAGACTGAGTGAGTCTTATGTTCACAACTGAAAAACGTCAGGAAGGTTGTCCTCTAATAATAATAAGAATAAGAATAACTGTTATTATTTATTATTGGTATGGTTAAGTACTAATTCATATATATATATATTTTTTTTGGGCTTTTGCCTTTATGTAGAGCAGTGGAGAGAGACAGGAATGGGGGGAGAAGAGTGAGGGAGAGACCTGCAGCAAAGGGTCGTGAGCGGGATTCGAACTCACAACTGCTGCGTCGGGGACTGTAGCCCCTGTTCATAGGTCGCCCGCTCAACCAAGTGAGCTATACGGGCGCCCCTAAGTACTAATTCATAATATAATAGTAATTATTATTAATTTATATGAAGATTACTATTGTTGTTTTTGTTGTTATCCCATCCATTATCTAAACACCGCTTAATCCTCACTAGGGTCTCAGGGGGCTGGAGTCTATCCCAGCTGACTTAGAGTGCTACACTTAGAGACAGACAACCAAACACACTCACATTCACACCTACAGACAATTTAGAATCACCAATTAACCTCAACATGTTTTTGGACTCAAGCCCTCCTGCTACCCTAGTGAGGATTAAGCGGTGTATAGATAATGGACGGATGGATGTTTTTGGACTTGTGGGAGGAAGCTGGAGAATCTGGACAGAACTCAGGCTGCATGGGAAGAACATGCACACTCCACGCAGAAAGATCCCGGGTGTCCTCACCGGGATGCAAACCGACGACCTTCTTGCTGCGAGGCAACGGTGCTAACCACCGATCCACCTTGCAGCCCTGTTATTATTATCCATCCATCCATTATCTATACACCGCTTAATCCTCACTATTTAATAAGTCAATGGAAATGGCAAACACCAACAGAACTTACTGCTACTTTAGATGACATTAGAAGCGGACAGGAAGTCAATAAATATTAGTCACATTGACTCTCCTTCAGTTTGCTGTCACATGTTACAACTACTAAATGACCCATTGAAATTCAAAGTGTTTAACTGTAATATGATGATTTTATTTCATGTTAAAAAAAAAGAGCATTTCATTCTCAGTTTGGTCAGTTGTGGGTCTTTTCTTTGTGACTTTCTAGGACAGCTTGTTGTGTCATATTCTTGTGAGGCTGAGACTTCAGTTACTCGGAATAAAAAAAACAAACTGAAGCAGTTCTGTAGAGATAATGGGTTGTATGCAGACCTGCTAATATTTGATATGATTTTAGGTCATTCTCACTGAAATAAATGGGGGAAAAACATTTTTTAAGAACCATAAAGTGTTATAAAACATCTATTAAAGACAAGGGACACACTGACAGAGTGCCAATATACAGCTCCAAATGACACTTAATAATCTCACGTATCATTGGAAAAAGGACAGTGCTATTTATAGATGATGACTGCCTCTCTACTAGTTCTTGAGTTTAGGAAAATGGCTGTGAAATCATTTTGAGTTTTGTGATGTTATGACGACAGCATCATTATGCAGAAATACAACGGCAAAAATACAAAGAAACAAATGGAAGTCCAGTTGAACAATTTTATTAGGATGTTAAGATGGAAACTGACTGCACATTGTTCAGACCTTCACAACAATGTGTGAAGTTGGAATGATGGTATAAATGCAGCAGATTAAGATGGTGATCAAAGGATCAGATTTAATAGCTGGCCATGGTGCTCTCCAGCCAGTCGTTGAAGATGCAGACCTGTGAATGGAGACACAACAAGACTTGTTAGGACAGACAGCCAGCAGCTTATATGGTGACATTTTACTGCATGTGTAAACTGTATATTTTTCAGAATAAGAAGTAATTGATCTTTACCTTGGCGTAGACACCAGGGTGGTCCCTCTCAGCACAGCCGTAGCCCCAGGACACAACACCCTGCAGCTCACCATTGCACACAACGGGGCCACCAGAGTCACCCTGATAACAAAGTATGAGAACAAAGAGCAAAATTATTGCAATGAATTTCAATAATGAACTGTAAAGTATTATTATGTTATTGTGAAGTCACTGCTTGAGAGAAAGACTTCTGCATATTTGACTTGTTACAGACCTGGCAAGAGTCCTTGCCTCCCTCCAGGAATCCAGCGCAGAACATGGCATCGGTGATCTGCCCGGGGTAGGCGTTATCACAGTCTCTAAAGGACAGGATGGGGAGGTCCAGGCACTGGAGCTTGTTACGGTCAGCAGCTGCAAAGTGTGAAGCAGAGTATGGATGAACAAGGATCAAAGTAACACGAGGGGAGCCAGATATTGCCATGAAACATTCTGGAACAAGAGCGAAGATGCAGATGTTACTCACTGGAGCTCATGGTGTTGCCCCAGCCAGAGACCAGGCACATGGTGCCAGCGGAAGCACAGCTGGTGGGCAGAGCCACAGGCTGCACGTACTTGTTGAGGGTGGCGGGCTCGCTGAGCTTGATCAGCATGATGTCATTGTCGATGTTGTAGGAGCTGTACCTGGGATGGCGGATGACACGGGAGGATCTGATGAACTGCTC